AAACAACATTTGATGGCACCGTTAGCAAGCACGTGATCAAGCTACACACGTGATACAGATAAGTGTGTATCGTCTAGTGTGAACTTGATATCTCTGCTTGAGTTAGCTGTTATGAGGGCATGCCTGTATACATCAGAACAAATAAGCGCTTACGATGACGGCAGCGAGTACCCATAGCAAAAAGGATGTAACAAGCAGGAAAAGGTGACAACACATAGTTTCCTGCTTGTTTTTTTTTCTTTTTCGCACTCGCACAACATAAGTGGCACAATAAAATAAATTTCAAGCAGCCGCAGACATTACCTTGGTAGGCATGGTCTGCATCGGTATACCGATGCACACCTTGTTGTATACACGAAGCCTCGCACATTTTACTCCTGCTTTCCGAACCAAATACCTTCAGCAAATTCTTTATTTCCTACATAAGCTTTTGCCCACGGAATTCTTTATTATTAGTAAGCAATAATAATAATTGTTGGGCTTTAACGTCCCAAAACCGCGATATGATTATGAGAGACGATATGATTGTGAGTGGAGGGCTCGAAAAATTTCGCCCACCTGGGGTTCTTTAAAGTGCACCTAAACCTAAGGGCATGGGCCTCAAGCACTTTCACCTCCATCGAAAATATGGCCTCCGCGGTCGGGATTCGATCCCGCGACCAGCGGGACAGCAGCCGACTGTATTATCTAGCAAACCAGCGGTGAGCCGTAGGGCTTGTCCTATTCCAGTGGCACATACAGTATTTATGTGCCACAGGAATAGCACCACTAATATAGATGCTAAACTGCAAGAATAGCCAACAACTAGTTAACATTGCTAGTGAAATTGGACAGGCCTTGTTACGGAAAATAGGCTTCACAGGAGGACGTCGCCTTTAGGATGGCGACAACGGCTGAAGGCGACCATCGTTTGCGTGACTGACTGCGCAGCTCTACGACGGCCAGTACCTGTCCGCTCTGGGCGACCTGGTGGTCGTCGTTCCCAACTACCGTGTCGGAGCGCTGGGATTCCTCAGCGGGCCGTCTGCCGGCGTGCTTCCGGGCAACGCTGGTCTCCACGACCAGCGGCTCGCGCTGTCCTGGACGCTGAACAACATCGAGAACTTCGGCGGCAACGCGTCCCGTGTGGTGCTGGCGGGTCACGACGCCGGCGCGGCGTCCCTGGGCTACCACCTCTTCCGCGGGGACGCCGCCCTCTTTACGCGCAACGTGGCCCGCTACATACTGCAGGGCGGGGGACCCTTCAACAGGTGCGCGCCTTTGGGAACCTATAAGAAGTTGCAACGTGGCCTCTGAAACCGGGTGCCAAGCGGCATTATCCTCGAGCATTGTCCGATCCCCGAGGCCATGATTACATTCTCTAGTAAAAATTGGGTCCTCCCTCTTAAGAAAAATGGTGGCCGGCGAAACTTGGCTCACGCATGCTTGACAGCTAGGTATATAATGAGTTGTAAACGATGCACACTTAAAAAACCAGCGTGACGAAGACAGAAGACGAGGACGGAGTGAGACGGCTTTCAACAATTTAAATTTATTGGAAAGAAAAACAAGCGCAAAAACACAACACTATGCGCGCACCTCGCAATCTAACGAATAGAAGGTTAAAAAGTATGCCATCATCCTCCATTCTTTTGATGAAGAACGCTTCCGATGTACTTTTCGTCATGTCTCTCCGCCGTCCTCGAGCTGAATTTCGAAGTATAAGAACAGCTGGCGTACTACTTTTCTTCCCAGTATTGTTCCTTTTTGTCTCTCTATCCCCGACGGAAACGAAACTGCTCTAATTGGCTGTGGGCGCGGCTTTCGCTTGCTGACTTTTTACCAAGAGAAGTGCTCCGCGATCGTTTTCATTGGCATCGGTAATACTGAGCGCGCACCTGTCTACGATCGCTGTCACCGCTGTGTCGCGCAGGTACAAGGACGACGGCGCGGAAGGCGCCCATCTTCTGGCGACCAACCTGCAGTGCGGCAGCGACCTGTCGGCACCGACAACCCTGCGATGCCTGCAGAACTCCCACGTGGACGCCGTGGCGCGAAGCCCCATCGCGTCCAGGTTCACGCCGCTTCTCAACCGGACTCCTGTTGCTCGCGGGATGTCGAACAGCGCAGACAAACGCAAGGTGGGTGGGCATATTTTCAAACGGGCAAAATTTGTATTTGTTCATTCATTTGGAACGCGTTTTGTGTCCTCAAGAAAAAAAACTCCCATTTAGTTCGGTATAAGCGACAATTCGTTATGTATGTTTGCTATAACAAGGTTGCACTGTTCATATGAAGCCGCGCAGTTCTCGTCGATCACCATCAACCAAATCGATCGAAACTCAGTCTCCCTCACACATTCGCGTAAGATGGCTTGAAAGCAAAATACATTCTTTTTTTTTCTCAGTCGATGTATTGATCTCACCCCCCTCTTCCCGGAAGCTTTTCGGACCTAATGTGGTTTTGGGCTGCCTCAAGGGTGGTAGGCATTGCAAGGTCCTGAACCTTCTGTACTGCTTCCGAGATCGGTCCACCAGTGACCAAGCGATGACGTCATCAAGTAACTTCATAGTGACGTCACATGTTTCGGCATGATGCTGACGCCATAATGCTTCGTCATCGTGGGACGATAATTACATTTTGCATCACTCTTGTTGACGCCGCTAACGGTCAATCCACCTTTTGCTCACAGTGTCACGGCGCATGCGCCCTTCGCCTAACGGAAATATCCGGAAACGCGTTTTGATCTCGGAGGCTTTCATTCCCGCCCCTATCAGGACCCTACCAAAACGGCAGAGGGTGGCATAGAGAAATGAGAAAGGCAGCGATAAGGCATTTAAGGCTTTCACCTTAAAGGACTGTCTAGCTTGGAAAAAATTTTTCTGATTGTGGCACAAATAAAAAGATCATTCATCACATTGGTGGCAGCGGCGGAGAAACCCCAGCAGCGCAGTGTCCGCCAAAGCTCATAAGAACAACAAAAGGTGTGTGCATGCCTTAATCGACAACTAAGGTACTTGTTTTATTAATTAATTAATTAATTTATTTTTTTACATACTGCAACCCGTAAGGGCTATGGCAGGAGTGGGTAACAGGCCGGTACAAAACAAACATGGTGTAATACTTTGCGAAGGAAAGCAAAATACAAAGTGGCAATACATGGCATCACATGGTGGCATAATGAAGACATGGTGGCAAGGAAGAGAACACAGTAAACAGTGAAACGGAAAAAGAAAAACTGTCAAAGGGTATTTATGGATAACAAGAATTCGTTAAACCAAGAAAACTTGATGAACCGGGGTGCGAAAACCTCAGACAGTTTCGGTTTTCGACTTTCTCCGACAGTACACTTGTCATCTCTTTCCACCAACCATGTGTTGTGGGCATTCATCCCACCGATGGAAGGAGACCGAGCGCAGATCTAAATATTCTGTTTTGAAATTCTGCACACCTTCCGGAGAAAGCACCACAAGGTTAGACACTTCCGATGGTACGCTTCTTTATTGCGACACAAAACTGAAAAGCAGTGAAAGACTTCAGACAGTCCCTTTAATGATTCATATAAAAAACAGCGCCAATAACGAAGGACAAGAGAAAGAAGGAGACAGACAGCGGCACTGTCTCCTTCTTTCTCTTGTCCCTCGTTATTGGCGCTGTTTTTTATGTGAATCATGTCGTACCAACTCGCCCAAGCAACCACGTTAGCCCTTTAATGAGTTTGTGTTTCTCGTATAGGTGGTGGGTCCCCAGGGCAAGCAGTTCCTGCTGGGCCGAGTGGTGCGCGAGGGAGTCTACCCCTGGTACGTCGAGCACATGCGAACGGGATCCAGCGAGACGCTGCACTTGGCCACTCGTCTCATCGGCCGCAAAGCGCTCGAGCAGTGGCAGACTGCCACGGGAGTGACACTGCGGCCGTTTGACGGGGACACGCTGTACCAGCAGGCCGTCGGAGACGTCTTGGTATAACCACACGGCCACGACGGCACTGAGTATTCCAGCGCCTGCATTGACGTGCTTAGTTCGCATTTCTTAATTACAACATTTAGGAACGAGAAAAACTGACGTCTAACGACCGGGATTTTATCATCGTCATCTACATATATTGGCAACCTCCGGTGATGTGAGGGCCCCTGGCCCCATTTTCGAACATCCAAAATCGTACATTATTTAGCAATCAGAAATTCCTTATTTACTTATTCAGGCCCCTAGTCACTTGATCTACGCGACACCGGACAAAACAGGAAGAGGGCTCAGGCTCGACTTATCTGTTTTTAAGAGGGAAAGACCTCTTCCGGGGGTATAGGATTGGAGCGTGGCGAGTGCTTTATGTATACTGTTAACGAATGGCGTATCGCCATAACAACGACCGAGCCCCGCCACGGTGGTCTAGTGGCTAAGGTACTCGGCTGCTGACCCGCAGGTCGCGGGTTCAAATCCCGGCTGTGGCGGCTGCATTTCCGATGGAGGCGGAAATGTTGTAGGCCCGTGTGCTCAGATTTGGGTGCACGTTAAAGAACCCCAGGTGGTCGAAATTTCCGGAGCCCTCCACTACGGCGTCTCTCATAATCATATGGTGGTTTTGGGACGTTAAACCCCACATATCAATCAATCAATCATAACAACGACCGACCACGCGGAGGCCATGCAGTGGTGCTTCGCTGTGTCAAAGATGTATTCTCACGGGGTCGCGACGTAGGCGAACGCAGTAGTCGACATGTTCAGGGCTAAACTTTTTTTTGTTGTTGTTTGGCCACACATGTGCCCGGAAAAAAAATGAAAAGGCAGAGTACAAGCAGTTTAGTCTTCACGCTGATAGCGGTGAACGTTGCGTCGGCCGTTGGTTATCTGATAATCAGCGAAACGTGTCTTGTATACAGTAACCACTGAACGTTCCAGCGCTATTGCTGGTGCTCGCGTGTAAGCTCTCGAATAAACTTGATAATACGCGTCCTGCGCGTCATCCTAATAAATCCATAAAAATCGCGAAGATTCTCCAGTACTGTGACGCGGTCTGCGCCGAGCGTTGCTAACAGTCTTCTTGAGTGAAACCCGAATGCATCAATACAAACACTCGCGGCAGTACAGTATTGATCTCACCGGAGCCGTGGTTCAGGAGTCGTCACTTTGACGAAACACGCTCTCGGCCTTGCCAGGAGGTATGTCCCATGTCTGACCTGGCCGAGCTGCTGCAAGCCTTGGAAAACCGCGTGTACGTCTACGTGCTCGGCTACCGGCCCAGGTACTCGAGCTGGCCCGACGTGACCGAGGCTGTCCGCTTCGAGGACATGCATCTGGTGTTCGGCATGCCATTCAGGCCCGGTGTGCCTTCGCGCGAGCTCGACAAGCAGTGGTCCCGCACCATGATAAATGTGTGGTCCACTTTCGCGCACACTGGGTAAGACGCGATTCTTCCCTTATCCGCTGTCATTCGATGCATGGAAGAGCGCTGTTCCGGGTAAGGTGCTGTTTCAGACAAAAACGAATGAACCATTGTGAACCTCGTGAGCCAATTTGAATTGCTGAGCTTCAAGAGGGTTGCTGAACTCTTGCTGAACTTGGTTTCACGACAAAGCACGTCTGCAGGCCACATGGAGCCGCATGAAGCCGAATGAGCAAAGCTCAGGCAAGTTATGTCCTATTTATCACTGTCACGCTCGTTGCAAATCTCACAGACACAAGCCCCAGATTTCCCTATAGTATATGCTACGGGAAAACCTTGTGGCTCGCTTTTTCTACGGTGACCGCACTTCTATTTCTCAACGTTAATAAATCAGCAGTTACGGTTTGCTTAAAGATGACAGTGCGTTTCACTTTCGTATGACCAGCGACTCCTAGCGAAGTGGAATATATGTAAACATATTTTTTCACGTTTACTTTTTTTTTTAAGCAAAGCGCCTGCGCTGGACGATTCGCGGTGGCCAGTATACGACCCTCTGCAGCCCTCCTACATGAAGCTGGGTGCAGATGGCGTGAACATGGAGCGCGACACCAAACGGCCGCGCTGCGACTTCCTGAGAAGCCACCGCAAACCGCACTGACAAGGAGGGCCACTGGGAGGCCACTACGCAAGCTTCGACGGAGCTTCTCTGTTCCACGCGCATGCCCGAATACTTTCGCGCGTGTATATCATATATGTACGTTACTTTTCTCACACGTTCTTTCCGAGAATAAACTTTTATTAGCACAAACGATTTCATGCAAGGCTCTGTCAACAATTTACTGACGTCAGTTCCATGACGGTTGTCATGAGCATTGAGCCTGATATCATTGATTGAGGCTGCAATGAGCCTGTGGGGTTTAACGTCCCAAAACCACCTTACGATTATGAGAGACGCCGTAGTGGAGGGCTCCGCAAATTTTGACCACCTGGGGTTCTTTAACGGGCACCCATATCTGAGCTCACGGGCCTACAGCATTTCCGCCTCCTTCGGAAATGCTGCCGCCGCAGCCGGGATTCCATATTGTGACCTGCGGGATTGAATCCCTTAGCCACTAGACCATCGCGGCGGGGCTGCATCGAGCCTGTTCAGGCAAAATTGTCGAGATGTCCGGTTTCGTTTCTGCATATAAAAGTGATCAATAAAAAGGTGCAATTGTGTTCCAATTTTCTCAGCTAAACTGCTTTAAAAGTTGTCCGTCTCGGTGGAACCGTGGCTACTGTGCTCGCCTGGTGACCCAAAGGTCACGGATTCGACCCTGGCCTGGGCGTTCGCACTTCGACAGAGGCGAAATGGTCGCGACCGTTGTACTGCACGTACGATGTCAGTGCAAGTTAGAGTACACCAGATGGTCAAAATTTCCGGAGCCCTCCACTGATGGCGTCGCTCATAATCACATTGTGGTTTTGGGGTGTAGAACCCTACATATTGTGATTATTAAACTGCTAAAGATGTTGGCGCTTCCTTAAAGGGCTACTAAACGAAATCACGGTTCAAAATGTCTGATGGAGAGATTACTGCGCCCTTGCGCAATGTAAACGTGCAATGTAAACCCTTTTAGGCAGTCGAGAGGGGTACGCGTAGCCTGTTTTCGCGACTACGCCTACTTCGACAACGTAATACGACGTCAGATGTTACGTCATCGGCGCGCAGCAAATCGCCAAGGAGAGCTTTCTATACGTGTCGCTCGTGTCAGAACGGTGTGGTAAAGAAGCGCGGTTCAAGACACTGGCGAAGTAAACAAATACGCTACGGCACATGCGCCCGCGATTAAGAAACTTTAACGCCTAACTATAACTTTAAGTGCAACGTTTTAACTATACATAGCCTGCACTGACGTGACGCCTCCGCCATACTGGTGCAGCGGGCCAGCGGCAGCGGTGATGCAGTGTGAATGTTGGCTGTTCGTTCGACGCGTCGCGATGGTTGATTGATTGATATGTGGAGTTTAACGTCCCAAAACCACCATTTGATTATGAGAGACGCCGTAGTGAAGGGCTCCGGAAATTTTGACCACCTGGGGTTCTTTAACGTGCACCCAAATCTGAGCAGACGGGCCTACAACATTTCCGCCTCCATCGGAAATGCAGCCGCCGCAGCCGAGATTCGAACCCGCGACCTGCGGGTCAGCAGCCGAGTACCTTAGCCACTAGACCACCGCGGCGGGGCACGTCGCGATGCTTATCTGCGCAGTTGTTGGTTGTTCCAACCGCACTCGTTGGGCGAAATCAACGAAAACTCGCTTTTTTCCGTCTCCCAAAGACAATCGATCATCACTTTGAATGTACGATAGAGCTAAGCGCGAAGCGACAGGATTGTGGCTGTCTGGAATAAGACGCGCCGATCCGGACATCGATAGGACAGCCACATGTGTTTGTGGCGCCCACGTCGTGAAAGGTCTGCTTGTTGCACACGCACATTATTTTGGTGCACGATGTACGTACAGTCGCGGCCATGGTTGTGAAGAGCGCGCGAGAAGCCGGTTTTTGCTCTGCGGGTCGAAACCCTGGGGGAATTTAGGGCTCTGAATTGGTGTCACAGAAGCATTCGTGGCCTAGTTGTCCGGCTGAGCACGTCAGAGCCCGATACTGCCTCAATGTTCCGCCCCGCAGAGCAAAAACCAGCTTTAAGCGTGCTCTACTCAGATGTGGCCGCGACTGTACAACCAGAACGGGACAATTTATGTCTGAGCTAACTTGCGTTACGTTTGTATAGGCAGACCATCGATACTGCGGTCGCATTGAGCAACCGCGACAAGCTTGATCAGTTAAAGCAGGCCTTCGTTGATCGACCCGACAAGTGCATGGGACCTAAATTTTTCGTTGACAAATAAGCGGCAACTGATATGAATCTCGTTCACGCGTTTTCGTATTTTTCTTCGCGCATTGAATTGCCAAGCTTCCAAACTGAACAAACTAACGGCTCCTGTCACATGAGACTTAAAAAAAAAAAAGACTTGTGATGGCACTTTAGGATCGAGTGATAGAAAATAACTGAGTGGATTGCCACACTAAATAAATTGTGCATTGATCAAACGTTGTTTCATTCTTAGAAACAATATAGAAAAACAACCTGCAACTGAGATAGCCAAGGAGAAGCACCTTGTCATCTCGCAACTGCTTGGCCGACGTACCCTTGACAACAGCTTGTACAATAATTGCGCACCTCGGTCAACTTGACCATCTTCCTTTGCTCGAGGGTCAACTAATTGTTGGAAAAAACGAGATAATTGGCGATGTATCCATAACGAATGTCCAGAAATATGTTCACGTCACTCTAAGTGTCGTTCCGGGTCGCAGCGTGGAGTCGACGCTATCGCACATTTCCAGCTTTTCGGCATAGCGAAGACACTCGGGCTGCGTAAGATCCGAATAACAAGTCGAGTCTAAGCGCTGCTCACTGAAAATAGTCGAGCATCGCACACGAAAAGCACCTCAATTGCCTGAAATCTCGAGGGAACAAATGCACACCACTGAGCGTGATGTCACGTGAAAACCATGTATACACGAAACATGCTGAACGTAGAGTTTTTTAATATATATGTTTTTATTAGAGGGAGCTCTGGCACTTCATTTGTTCAGCAACCATGACAATGATGGATAGTGCTCGGATTTGCCTCATCATCATAATTGTGGCTTTCCAACGGACTAAGGGCTTCGATTATTGCTGTGTTTTGGCGTTTGTTTTGGATTTTAAAAAATGGATAGTAACAAACTTCGTGAGCCAATTTCAACTGGTTAGCTTAAAAAGGTTAAGGCGGCAAAGTGTAATTGTTGAAAGTGTGCAGCAGTTAATCTAGCAACAAAGTAGATGCAGACCACACAGAACCAAACGAAGCCAGAAAAACGAAGTTTAGACAAATTAGTGCGCTACCCATCATTCCCACAGTGGCTCAAACAGCATGTATTGCAGCTCTCATAGATAGCTGTGCTAGGGTTCTCTCTAGTGCACTTATAGGAAACTATGATGGCAAGGACTTAAAGCATCTCCCGTGTGAAAGCCACTGATACTACCCACAGTAACAAATTCCGAAGGCAGTGCTGCATTCACAAGGTGACTACGGCTTGGGGCTGCAACACGTCAGCAACAAAAATATCACGAATAAGTATTCAGTGAACGTGTGTGTCGGCAACTGCATGCATCATCTGTGCATATACATGATCTATGTAAGACTGTCATCACCCCACATCTTCAAGTAGCTATGATATACCCAGATATGTTAGCCTGACACACCACCAGACTAACTTATCTCGGTATATCACTAATGATCTCCACATATCTATGATACGTCTGCTAATAGAGTCTCAGCAATGATGACACGGGACACAAGTTGGGGATTATAACCGCTGTACCATAAATTAAAACTCGAATATTTATACACACAGGAAAACAGTGTACCAGTGCTTTTTTGCTGCTGTTTCTTCACTATTTTTGTCCCATAGACTTGAGATGCTGCAGTGTAGGAAGCACCACGTTTGAAACATACTAATTTCCTCCATCTTTGCTCGTTGATTTGAGGGGTGGTCCACCCACCTACCACCACCCCACAAATACATGTGTGTTCATAAGGAACAGGAGAAGTGATACTCAGGTGCAGTAAACTGATACAATGTACCCATTTCTAAGCCAGTCTCCATTGAAGCTTTGAGCGAGATGTCTGGTCAATGACAAGAATGGTTTGCTGCAATGATCAGCTCCCGAACCACAATAACACCGAGGTGACAAGACAAAAAAAAAAAATCTTTAAAAAGCCGAGCCGCCTGCTTTTCTCTCTCTATCGCCGTCTTCTCCAATTCGTTCTTGCCTTTGAATATAAAGCGGCTCTTTTCACGCCCTAATTTCACTCATCCTCGTCATCGGTCCTGGCGCGTAATACGCGGCCTTTCGTTAAAGCCACGCGCTCTGCAGGCTTGTCAGCAACTTCGGCCGTTACAACTTCGTCGTCAACGTCCAGCTCGTCGCGGTCGTCGTCGAAGTCCGCGCAGTCGAAACTGATGAGTGAGCTCGAGGAGCCGGCCGGCAAAGAGGTGCTCCTCTCGCGCCCGCCAGCACAGGCCTTCTTGCCGCCACTGGGCTTCACCCCAACGACGCATTCCGGCATCACCAACTTGCCGCTTCCGATTCGGCGCGGCGGTGTTTCGGCGGTCGCGTCTTCCATGTCGGCGTCGTCCGAAGAAGAGCGCTTCTGAAACGTGTGCTTACCCCTTGCGGGCGCGTCCCCTCCGGAATCGACTTCGATCCCGCCTGCTGCGTCGTCCCGCGACTGTTGTTCTCTCCGAAGTCGTCTCTCGCGCAGGTAGTCCAAGGCGGCAGCCTTGTTGCTCGCCTCGGACATGTCTTCGTCGGGCACGCTGTCCAAACTGTAGCACGTCCATCTCTCGGGGTGGACTTTGTAATCCGGAGTGGTGCTGGCCGAATAACCGAAGCGGTCGACTCCGGACCCGGAAGCGCCGCGCGGGCGCTTGCGCGGACCGCACGGCGCCGACGACCAGGGTCTCTTGAAGACGCCGTCCGATGTAGACGACGGCTTGGTTGCGACGTCATCCTCCGGGTCTTCCTTGAGGTACGACTGCCCCGAACAAGCGTCCTCCTTGTGAGAGCGCTCCCAAGCCTGGTGCTTGGCTTCGAGACTGTTCAGCGAGTCGAACACCGAGCTTATTCGACTCGACACGTCATTGGCGCCGCCGGTCTGGAGCTGGAAGCGCGTCGGGAAGGCGTGATCGCTCCTGTTCAGGTTAGTCATGGCCAGTTGTGGTTACGTTGCGGAGGAGAAACGAATTCCTGACGTAATTTCAGTCGCTCTTCGCAGATACGGCCCGCGCCATTGTTGTTTACAACTTGCGCGTTGTTGTTGGATTATGATGATGATGGTGAAACAATTCGCCGCAGATACCACGGCTTAGCCAACTAAAACTTTTGCTAGATTTGCTTCAATTGTAGCAGAATTTTTAGTGCAAAGTAAAAACGACATTATAGTGTCAATACACTCTAATCACATTTTCAAAACATGGTCATGTACAAAACTAAAAAAAAGTGTGATCATCATCATTTATTTTCACAAGAGTCAGATCCAGTCAAATCCAGCCGAAAAATTGTGAGATTCTTCATGGCCGCCATAGCACCACGTTGGCGGGTGTGGAGCACTGCTCCACGCTAATGTGCACGCCAAACATGTCCTTACGTCATACAAAGTCATGACTGTGTCACCAAAGGATTAGGTAAGGAGATGCCACGTTTTCTTCTAAATGCTAACCATGCGATGTCTGTGTGAAGTGCGCACTCGCAGCTGTTATCTGCTGGTAAGAATGCTGCTCGATGTAGATAACTTGAAAACCGCCTCACGGATTGACGGATTCATCGCGAACGTCTAGCGTACAAAACGGTTCTATATTCCGCAGAGCAATCGTGCTTTTGTTCGGAGTGGTAATTATTGCAATATCAGAAAAACTGCGAAGCACGAGTGAAAGAAACGGGCAGCCGTTCTTATGTCCGCCTTTGCTGGTTATCTCAAGGACGCAGTCTCGAACCGAGCCATGATGGCCGCTTTTCGACGGGTGGCAAAATGAATTAGATCCTTGTACTGAGACATAGGTGCAACTCTCGGGGGGTCGAAATGTATTGTCCTTGCTACATATATAGGTTCATAACAACAGAAAGCCTAGGACAACAGACAACTAGCGTGTAAACAAACAAGAAAGAGGTCAGCACGCCACACATCCTTCCCGCGTCCGTATTTGTACGCCCTGTGTCGTTAGAATAAACACATATCAAAGTTGTGGCGCGTAAGACTGCCCAAATCAATTATTATATCTGTCTTTCAGTTCAGACCCCTCTGTGTAAACGTTCTGTGCCCTTTGTGTGGTAGACGTATCAAGAGTCTGTGTGTGTGTTGCGTATGTGTCTGCTTTTGTATGCGGCTGCAAGTGAAAATTTGAGTGCTTTTAATTATCCTTTGTGGCATTAAAATTGTGTGAATAGGGGGTCTTGGTTCACTGTGCTAAATCGCTATTTTAATAAGAAGCATTCTATGGGACACTAACCATGGTATCGTAACCAGTTTCTAGGTTACCAGTGAGAAAGGTGTATCCGCACTGTCCAGTGGCGAGTGCGGCCGCTGTGCCAACACTGGCCACGTGGGCACAGAGGCTTTTGCTTGCTTTCATGCTGCCCATGATGTTCAAGGGTGGCAACGAGCAACATACGAGAGCCGTGCTCTAGCACAGAAAGTGGGTTCCCAGCAAAAGATGTCACAGTCTTTCTAATGGCATATTCTGTTGGCCGCCCTGGTCCTCTGGCTCGAAGTCACCAGATGCCGAGGCAGCTCGCAATCAAAGGGCGAGAGGTAGCGTACCAACTGAATACATCGGCAATCTCGGAGCAGCTAGAGCACCGTGCCTGCAGAATCGCCATGTAGTTAGTGCCAGAAGCTGTCAAGTAAACCTTCCTCGGCTGTATCCACCAATGGCACCAATCAGTAGGCAACGATTGCCTACTGAGCCTTCTTTACGATCGCGTGGTGAAACTAAAGCCACAGAAGGGCATTGCGTATCAACATTGCCACTGACTGTGGCACTTGAAATTACCTTTGTTTATCCACGTAAGGAGGCAACACAATCATTTCCAACACTTGTAAATCCTATCATGGGGCAGCGCCGATTCCCAGTGGGCATGCATCGTCATTACGGCATGAAAATTCAAGCAGAGGGTCAGAAACTTACCCGTACGGCAGAGACCCAACGAGACAGAAAACCACTGTTGCATGTATGCAAAACACTCGAAGGGTTAAAATTGTTTGTGCAATGTTCTTGTTTGTCGAGCATCATTCACTTGTACTATTGTAAGAAGTCACGTTGGTTCGATTGTGTAGCATTATTGTTAGGATAAACTTATTGGTATCTCCTAAGTGTTCCATAGAAAGCTGGCTGAGATATCTGTTTTTGAAGCCTAAGTAGTATGCCACCAGTATTATTATTTGCTGGAAATGACCCATGATAAGAACATAGCTTGGAACGCATGGCTCTTTGACGCCACCTTTGAAATGAAGTGGCATATAAACGGCTATCTCTGAAGCAGTTCGCATGAACTTCGGTTGCATCAAATACCACCAGCTGCTCTTGTCTGCTTGCGTGTTTTTTAAAACCTGATAACAAAAAAACTGTAGAATTACTAGCTTTGCCAGTATTGCTTAGCTAATGTACAGTACCCACAATAATATAAAAAAGTGAAGTTTTGTTGCACCTAGTCTTTGGGGGCCTTATTTTATGATGTGCAGTGAATTAATGTTTGGGCACTAAAACCAGTTTGCTAAAAGGGGCAACTTACGTGATAAGCAACATTCCTCAAGTTATTGCTTTTTTTAATATTCTGCTTTGTTTCTGTATTTTGCAGTCACTCTTTCAGGCCCTCCAAAATGTACGCACACCTGTTTCTCTTCAGGGATTTACAAGATGCACCATCAACGTATTTTCGCTTGAACGACATATTTTCGCTTGGCTAATGTAAAATGTAACTAAGGTGAGTGCTTCATATTGTGTACAATGCGTAAGAACTTGTCAATTCTGCTTGATAAGTGTTAAATTAAAGATGCTCTTGTTTACGCTATGTATTTGTCGTTTCACACTAAGGGTTAAATTGAGAGTGTGGGGGCATCGGTATGCTGCAGCTGCGTAGTTTGTCGAGGCGCGCTGACGCTCTAATCACATTGTGTTGAACCGTGTCTTTTGCCGTGGTGGCACGCAGTGGCTACTTTTTTGGGAGGTGTGCGATTTTCTGAGGACATTGTGTGCACATTTTAGTGCCATTTTCTTCTCACTACATCACACAAGGTGAAGAAATATGCGTGCACTAGGCCTGTAGCCAGGAATTTTTTGGGGAGCGAGGGGGGGGCAATGGTTGAAAATCTTAAAAATCGCCCATTTTTATTTGTCCTTGGTAAAGCACCTCCCTCCATCTTAATTTAGGAGGGGGAGCGGGGGGGGGGGGATTGGGGCTACAGTCCTGGCATGCATATTGCCATTACTCTGGTTTTTCGAAAAAACAAATGCAGTATGCTGTCAAAAGAAGCTTGTGAAACGCAACATTTCCTAGTGGCTCCTCAATGGTTAGTTTCTCAAAACGCTTAGTGAAGATTAGACACAGTTCAACACTATGCCCTTGCCCTGCCGCAGCGGTCTAGTGGCTATGGTACTCGACTGCTGACCCGCAGGTAGGGATCGAATTCCGGCTGCAGCGGCTGCATTTTCGAAGGGGGCGGAAATGCTGTAGGCCCATGTGCTCAGATTTGAGTGCACTTTAAAGAACCCCAGGTGGTATAAATTTCTGGAGGCCTCCACTAGTGTCTCTCATAATCATATGATTGTTTTGGGACGTTAAACTCCACATGTCAATCAATCAGTCAACACTATGCCCTTTGAGCGCCTGCGCGACTTGCAGCCGCCATCTGACTCAAGCGTTGCTGTATATTTATGCCTGAAACCTTCATGTGGAAGCGGCAACATTGTAATGAGAAAGATATACATGTGATAGACAGTGTAGTTTACTCAATCAAAACAGGCTACTGAGATTCCTGTTCTGATAGAAATCACAATTCTTTATCAACAGGTGGATGATTAGATGATGCTTGCATCACCTGTAACACATATTGCGATATACGTTGCAGAAGGATGTTGATCTCTGGACGCTCAGCAGTGCGTTTGTGCTAAAAACAGTTGGGAGTAGTTTAACTATTATTGTACCATCATGGACGAGATAGTTTCATCAGTGCTGCCATTTGCCAGGGCATTTATTATACCCTGGTAAATGGCAGCACAAATCCCACTGAGCAGTGCCCCACCACAGTGGTCTAGTGGCTAAGGTACTTGGCTGCTGACCCGCATATTGCCGGATCGAATCCCGGCTACAGCGGCTGCATTTTCGGTGAAGGCGAAAATGCTGTAGGCCCATGTGCTCAGATTTGAGTGCACGGTAAAGAACCCCAGGTTGTCAAAATTTCCGGAGCCCTCCACTAGGGTGCCTCTCATAATAATATGGGGTGTTTGGGACGTTAAACCTCATATATCAATCAATCAACGCACTAAGCAGCGAAAGTATGAATGGGCTCATTTTCTTTTAGCAGAAAAAGAATTTTATTCCCTCAAAAATGTTAGATAGCAACCTAATATACAGAAAGAGATCCCCAAGCTTCAGGCTTCAGGGGGACCTCCTGTACTAGTTTAAATTAAGAAAATTCAATGAAAGGGGCCCTGCAGCACTTTTTGAGCTTGCTCCAAAAATGCTGTCGATTGGTAGTAGAGGCTCCCGGCAACACGCAAGCACAATATTGTAGCGCAGCACGCAGCCTGGAATTCACAATGGATTATCAAATTCAGCAAAAGATAGCTTTCTCTTCTCTCGACAAACCACGGAAAATAAGATCAGTAAGACCATCTATCGGCCATTGGATGATTTGAACATGGCGCGCTCAGTTGTTACAGAGGGCGCCGCAAAAGAGCGTCACTTGTCCACGCTTGTGCACGTGATCGCACTGAAAAAGCCGCGTATTCGAAGAGGGAAAAAAAAAAGATAAAATTCTCGAGGTGTGAGTGACGTTTTTTGTTTTCCCCTCCCATCCCTCCCTGCTCAGTTTCCAGCGCTTTCGTCGGGACGAGAGAAGAGTGTGACGCAGCGTGTGACAAATCTTAGTAACTGTATGCAGATGACACTAACATATTCTTTAGCGGCACATCCATTCTAGAGCTTGAACACCAGGTTAATAACTACCTACGAAAGTTGTCCGCGTATCTTAGTTTGAATAAACTGCAACTAAATGTCAGTAAAACGAAATACATTGTCTTTGCCCCACCTAATAAGCCACGTAACTATAGTTCAACTGTTTTATTTGAGGGCAAAGAGATAGAGCAAGTCATCAGCCAGAAGTTCCTAGGTGTATGGTTTTCTGAGGGATTGACATGGAACACACATATAGAAAAACTAACGGTAGAACTCAGTAAAACCGTTAGATGTTTATATAAGCTCAGCCCATTCTTACCAAAATGGTTACAAATAGAATTATATTACGCCCTTTTCTACTCTAAAATGACATACGGTATCTTGGTATGGGGTACTACTACACAAACTATCAAAAATTACTAGTTCTGCAAAAAAGAGTTTTGCGAGCATTCGAGCAATACCATGGTATTATCAGGGACTTGAAAACCAAACCACTCTTTGAAAAATACGCATTACTAACAATAACAAAACTGTATCATTTCAAACTTCTGCAGTGGATTAAACAAAACAAGCCACAGTGTCTTCAGAACCCGCCTGACAACACTCATTATACTATGCGTCAGCAACGCCGGAAAATCCCAGCAATAAGGACAAGTTATGGCAAGCAACACATTCAGTATCAAATACCCACAATGTTAAATCGTTTACACGGTCTCATAGATTTCAATTCTGTACCTTCGGACACCATCATCAAGTCCATCCTAATGAACCATGATATTGGGTATGCTTATTAAAGTTTCTGTACTTGATTTGTGACATCCTATCTATCAATTTGAGTTATGTGTTGTAGTTGCTTTTCTTATGCTTTATTTTACATTCTGTATCGAAGTTTCTTTTCAGATGACGCTTTTGTGATAGTGATTTTTCTAATGTTTTCCCTGAAATAGTGTGACAAGACCATGCTAAATTTTGTTGTGTTATGGTTTTATTTATTGTGTTGTTTATTTATTTCTGTGTGTTATTTGTTTGTGTTATATATTTATTTCTGAAAACATATGCGACAGATTGAGCGGCCTGCATGCCAAACTGTATATAGGAGCAGTGGCCCCATGTCAGGCTATATAGCATTTAGCCTCTGCTCCCGATCCTGTAAGAATTTCAGGACAAAATAAACTTCAATTCAATTCAAACTCTGCTCATACTGGACGGATTATTAAAATTTTTGTGGCATTTAATTTGTGAGGTAATACGCTGTTCCTGTGAATTAATTCCATGGTTACTCAAAAAAGTGTTTCATGGCCCCTTTAAAATAGCAACTTGACAACAGGAAAGAATAAGTTTGGAAGAAGCAGTAATACTTGAGAGCAAATGAACTAAAACATATTGAAGTGTGTTGGTCAAGAGTCAAGGCATGTCAATAGAAACCTATAATAGAGAAAGTCACCAAATGCATACCAGTCATATCTGATTTGTCCAAGGAGACTCGCCGTTTCAGACTAGTCGTCTTGATTGTTTGATCACTCCCATGAGTTTCCTGGTAAACTGCCTACCTAATTAAAGTAAAAGTGGAGCAGAAAGAAAACCTACAGTACCAGTATGATCACGCGTAATGAAGAGACCACTGTTGTATAGTACTCGGCGTATAGTATCCCCTTCATACATCTGGTAACCACGCAGCACACAGGCACTTCTAGCTGCATTATGGTTGTTCTAAATTACGGCCAAGCTCAGCGAGTACATCCAGAAACACTTAAGGCTTACTCTGCAGTTTCTGGAGTGAGAAATATATATCTGTTGTCTATTTAGCTTGAAACTACCAGTATGAATATTACTGGGAATGTGTCCATGTTTATGAAATCAGCCGTTTGACAAGTCTGTCTCGCTTTGCCGAGAGTAGAGCGAGCCATTTTCAGCTGTCCGTGAAATTGCAGTACAAATCCTGTGTGCTGTGCAGTGCTGTGTTTGTCTTGAATGTCCACGGGAACCTCGACTACTAATCTGCAGTAATTTCTGGTTGTTTCCAAAAAAGAGTGTCGTAAGAAAGTGTCCCTTCAAAAACTCTCGAAGTGATCATTTGAGATGAGGACGATTCTGACGATCAAGCTTTTTTTCCTTTTTTTTTCTGCTTTATCTCCTCTCTCCCTGTGGCATATCTCCTGATTTCAGAAGTCCTTGGGCTGGTATGTATGCGAAACGGTGGGCCCACTAGTGGTTAAAGGGGCTGACATATGGCTAGACTGTGTTAGCAGAGACTCGCAACATGGAAAACGTTACGGCCCATAGTGACAGAACTGAGAATGTCCTTCATGATTGAAACAAACCATTACAGCTAAGTTTCTCCAGAATGGCGAGTGAGAGAGAGAGAGAAAGATTGGCAGCCAATCCACGAAGTGAATTTTGACGATGGAGCGAAGCTCCTCGGACGATTACGAAATGTTTATGAAATCCTTATTAAATGCTTGTGACGGTGTCAGGTGGCTGCCACTGCGCGCTGACAAACTCTGGTGACGTCGTGTGTACCTTGCGTCGGACTTTACAGCTCTCACGCTCTTCTTGCGTAACATCACAGTGCCCAGCGTGTCCAATCATGCAAGAAGGGAGACGCCCGCATCGCGTTCCATTTTGACCGACCTCGTCTTAATGGGCACAGGCGTTCGCTTAATACACTTTGGAATTTACAAAGTGACAGACAGACGCACAATTATGCCGAAGCAATGGTTTTTTGCCGGTTTGAGAAGAGATGGCAGAGAGGAGGAAAAGAGAGGGAGACTTGTGGGAGAGGGGTGCGAGTGGTGCTGCAGTGGGGAATTTCGACAGTGGGGTACGGGCCTAAAAAGCTTCACTCCAAAAAAAAAAAGTGCTATGTTGTGCATTCATATTGCAAAGTTGGAAACCTCACTTTTAGACTTAATCCCCTGAGTGTTCCTTTAAGCTTTGCTTCACATAGATCTGCATGATATCTTTTCTTTCCTTTCTATTCCCCAGGATAAAAACTGGCTCTTGATCCTTATGGACACTGACTTGCGGCAGATCTCCTGTGAAGCATGATTCATGGCCGCTGGCTGGTGTCATCAGCTCTCGAAGTGTTCCCAGGTGGTCTCCCTCCCTAGGTACTGAAAGCTTCCAGTGCTCCTTGGCTTTGTTGTTCTGACCTGATGGCCTCTCTGGGGAACTGGCAACTTAGTGTCCTTGGCTGTAGATTGACAAGCACGCATAAACAAAAATCAAAAGCTGTCTTACTGAAAATGTTGTTCAGGAACCATTAAATCTGTTTGCGAACCTAGTTGCTGCTTACTTCATGCGTTTTTAAGGCTGTATGAAAAACTGCTCTAGCCGCAATCCACAGAAGTCACTCTCACAGGAACACTGTGAGAGGGAACACTACGCCATGCTGCAACAACATGCAGCGTGGTGTAGGTGCCTTTTTATTTCTCCCTGGCACAGAATTCTTGATCTAAAGGCCACACGATTTAGATTCGCGAAAGCTTGTCAGTATCTTGTGCGGTCTGCGTCTGCATCCAGCCTGCTTTTAGCTATGCTTGTAAGCTTGGCAAAAGCATGCGTATGTCGTAAAAAACTGCAACAAAAGCTTTACAGTTATCTCATGAAGATGGGGAAATATGTAAGCTCCACCGCAATGCAGAGGTGTTATGCGGGGAAGCATAAAAGAATTGGGGGGGGGGGCTGTCATCGGACATAATGTGCCTCCAAAAACACGTGCTTTTTTAAATGTTTCCTGCCGGTATTCTTCATGGGTTCACCGACGTATTTCCGTTTGGGATATGACATGAAATATACAGGAACAGATAGGAAAAAAGAAACTAGAAAAAAAAGTTTCTTGCCAGGACATGAACCTGGGACCCCCCGCTCCAGAGCGCGCATCGCGAAACTACTCAGCCGCAAAATACGCGTTCTGCAGCATACTAACGGTCAGCTACTTACATTCACTTTTGGTGGTACTCTGAGCTCGTTGGTTTCAGTTTGTTTTCGTTATCACCAACGAGATGGCGTGAAGGGTGTGCTTAAAAGATTGGTGCCCCGCGAAGCGCTATGCACCCGCCCTTATCTCATGATGGGGCCGATTTGTACGTCTTGTGCTCTCACCACAAATTTTCGCGGGGAGTTGGAACCAGAAGGTCACTTGGCTCAGTGCATTGGCAGCATTTTGCGAAAGGAGCGCTTCCGCTCACACCAGTGCTGCTCACTCACCAAGAAGTTACAACTGTGACAGTTCGCGCTGGTCCCATGTGTCGGCTTATGCGTTCGTTTCCTTCATCCTTCTGTGTGTTTGAGCAGCGTGCTTTTGCTGTCGCCCGAGCTGTGATTGTTGTTAGTCCGCGCTCAACCTGTGTACGTTCATTCCGTGCATTATTTCTGCTCAAGCGGAGCGCTGTTTGTTTAGAGTTGCTTGCCGTTCTTCCCGTGACACTACACTTTGTTGCTATAGTATTTATTCCTTCGCCTTTGCGGCGAAACAATGCTTGATATATGCTCGACTACCTCCGTGAAGACGCGATGATCACTTTCATGTTCTGCCGATACCTCTGACAAAGGGATCAGCCATGTTCTTTGTTTTGTGTGTGTGTGTATGTGTGTTTTCATAATTGGTTTTCGCGGTCCGTGGACCCGCATTTGAGAACCACTGGACGAACACTCCCATTGCATCCACATAAATGCCCGACATAGTGCACGAGGGGATGACTGCTGCCATCAGTCCCGATAGCTGAAGGTTGCCGATTTGAACCCTTGCCAACAACAAGTTGTCTTCTCGCTCACTTTACTCTCTCCACCTATTTCACAATTGCTAAAATGCACTCAAAAACAGCACAATTAATGTCACTTTCGTCTTCATTTTATGGCTTCGTTATCTGTTAGTTTTCGTTGAAAGGACACTAAAGTGAAACAGTGGATCGGCTTAGATTGATCAATTGTGCTTTTGGAAATCTAATGCCCTTAATTTTATCATAAACTCTACAGAAAAAAAATTGCAAGTTTCATTTTTAACTGAGAAAGGGCACGACGTCGGGCTAGTTGTTGTTTCACTTCATTATTTTTTTTTTATTTCCAGCCGAAATACGTTCATGCGCAACGTTAGGGAGCCCCGCCGCGGTGCTCTAGTGGCTAAGGCACTCGGCTACTGACCCGCAGGTCGCGGGTTCGAATCCCGGCTGCGGCGGCTGCATTTCCGATGGGAGGCGGAAATGTTGTAGGCCCGTGTGCTCAGATTTGGGTGCACGTTAAAGAACCCCAGGTGGTCGAAATTTCCGGAGCCCTCCACTACGGCGTCTCTCATAATCATATGGTGGTTTTGGGACGTTAAACCCCACATATCAATCAATCGAACGTTAGGGATTTCAATGTGTGTGTGTGTGTTTGTTTTACGTATTAGAATCAATTTTTTAAATTCCCACTTCACCTTAAAGGGCCACTCACCAGGTTTGACAATTTTGAGCTGACAAGCGCGATGCGTAGACGAGACGTTCATGATCACATCGCCAAAATTTGCAACGCTACGTGCCGCGGAAATGGGTCAAATTTCAAGATGAAAGCTGCTCCCCTCCTCTCTGCCGGCGCACGCGTAGAGAACGAGGGCATGACATGGGCGTAGGAATGGCACTATGTACACGGCAATGCGGTGACGTTGGTCCTCTACGTAGGTAACTCTGCTCTGACGTTGTCAACAGTATACCACGTGACATGGCAAAAACGTTTTAACACAACATGCGTAGTTTATGTATTTTTTGCTTTAAGAGATGAATAAAACTTGAAATAAATAATGAGACGAAATAAAAAATTGTGCACGTTTTTCTTACATTTTTCCCGTGAAATGCTACGAGACACGGGGCTAATGTGCCAGCGTTTCACATGCATTCGGGTTCGTGCGGTCAGCGCATAGAGCAGACGACTGCCGTGGAACGCTCCTACGCGTTCGCGCACTCATTGTGCTCATCTACTCTACCGCCTCTAATCCAGTGTTTCCAAATAATCCCGCAGAAACAGGCAGAAGACCACAAAATAACGCTGGTCAACAAAGCAACGCCGCCCGCGTGCACAGGGGCTGAGCTTCTTCGGTAACGTCATGCGAACGTCACCTCTTGGTCGGATGCCGGAGAGGGTGGGGAAGAGGTTTGGCTTGCGAAGGCTACGCGGAGGAGCCGCAAGGGTTTCGAGATCGTCTCCTCACCCTCGTTTCGCACCGCTTCAAAAAACCTGTTTTCTCCGCTCGTAATGAACTGATTCGAAAAATTTTTGTGCAAAACGTTCCTCATCGAACGCCCAACAACTTCCACTGTCTAACTAAAATCTGGTATGGGGCCTGGTGAGTGGCCCTTTAAGGTGGCGGTTCTACTGTCGCCATATTGCGAGTAGTTCTGGAAAAAACACCAGACGGCGCCAGCAAGTCGGGACTGGAAGGCCAACATTTCGGAGGTGAACTGCCACACGTGTGCCGGCGCGCCACACTGCATGACGAGGGGGTGCAAATCGCGCTGACACGGTTCGAAGAAATGAGGCACTGAGCAGGGGCTTTTTTTTTCTCCCCTTCAACGACACCTCCATCTCTCTCCATGCTCACTAGCCCCTGACCCCTGCGGTCGCTGCTTTTCAAGAGATTCCTCATGTAGGCTGTGTAGCCTGCTTGGCCCGCTGCTCTACGTTCCATACAGTGCCGGAATGCGGGGTTGAGTGAAAAACTCTATCGCGGAGGTCACAACAATGTATACAACGGAGATCAAAACTTGGACTATGAGTATTCATGCGAGGTTTAACAAAACAGTTCGTTCTACAAATAATTGGGGTTGCTGGAGCATGATGCGGTTCGGTGAGACAGGAGAAGGCAAATTATATTTGACTATGTATACTTCCTTCCCAGTATGACCTAAGCTTCCGAATTTTCAAAACAAAACAAAAAAAACGAGTAGTTAGGCAAATCGCGTGCTAAGAAGTGCGGCCGCTGTGACTCACGGTGCCCAACACGTGCCGACTGCATAATCATTAGTCTTCCCCACTATACGTAGCGTAATTTATTTCATTAGAATTGAAACTTCAGCAGGCTAGTATGAATTCATGTTTTGGTTGATGCAGCATTTATTTATCACGTTGCCGTACGCAAAGCATCGGACTAGTCGACAAACTATTTTTATGACGAAAATGAAGCAATTACCTCTTGTGTGTCATATGAGCGAGACTCGCACATGCGTGGCCTGAATGGTCCACGTGCGTTATTCCCTTGTCCAAGGAACGACTTGTCTATTCACGTACACTATTTCAACATCATTTTTTTTTCCTGTAAAGGTCGTGGCAATAACATGAAGAGTGATCGTTTCGCCCAAATCAGTTATTGACTGCAAGCTCGTAGATTCGAGGCCGTTACCTCAAGCTCTATAAACATCTCATGATAAAAACTGGGGCGGATTCACACAAACCTCCCAGGAGTGCAACAAGGGAGGGGAAGACTTATGGTACAGTGCATCTCCCATGCATCTTTCTACACAGCCGCTGCTTGTATTACTTCTATGTTGTACCCATTTCGAGTTCGTAAAGCGCATGCAAGGCAAAAACATGAGTACACAAATACAATAGTTGCAAAGGAGTTGAAGAAAAGGTCTTGTCGACCTGGATAAGGCTTTTGGATGCATGATTGGTCAATTCAAATAACTATGTCGGCTAACATATCTTCAAGCAACGAGTCTTAGTGTTGTGTATATGCTATGCAATGAAGGGCTGTCATGCAGTAAGCAAGATTGAGTCAATACACGTTGTTGTGACAATTTATTTAGTACGAAACGAGCGTCGGCAGCACTTGGTTACAGCCACGAAGACACCTAAACATCACACACACAAAAAAGCTCATACAACTACAACGCATATGAAGCACATGGCGGCAGACACCGGCTGTGTGTGAGAGAGGGTCGGGAGAGGAGGCAGTTGTGGTTACTTAGGTAAAAGAGAAAAATTTAGCGGACTTTAGTCTCGAGAAGCTCTTGCTTTCTGTCTTCGCAGCTGTCTTGTAGTGTGCAAGAAGTGCACACAAGGCCAACACGACGAGCGGTCGGCGTTCCTTTGTCGTGAAAAGTACTCTGGGTCGACTTACCCCTCGAAATCCAGACCTGCATGGCGCATTTGTGCGATACGTCTTTCTAGCGCATTACCCCCGTTTACATGGTCGTGATGCGCCAGTTGTCGCATTCGTATAAACGCTGTGCGTGCCGTGCCGCCTTACGGCAAACTGTCGACGCCCGGCTATACGCAAACGTGCTTTCTTATCGAGGAAAGACCAACTGG